TGTCCCATCGTCATTGTCGTCCCCCGCCCCGTTCCGTCCCCTTCCCCCGTGATCTGGGTTTTAAAGGGAAGGGCTGCATCTGTCGAGCCAGATGATGCAGATGGGTTACACGAAGGATGGATGTTCGGGTGACCTGAATATGGTGTGCTTGTATAATTGCCTGGCGGTCCGGGGCTGTGTGCCGGGGTCAGTTTGGCTCAAGTAGGGATATCTGGGGAGTTTAGTCAACACATGGTGTTTGTTGCAGCCGTTGCAGAAACGACAGAGAACAGTGGAGGACTTCAACCAGTTCTGCACCTTCGTTTTGGCCTACGCAGGCTACATCCCCTACCCTGAAGAGGTAAGCGGGCTCGCTGGGTCTTCCTCTGGAAAAAGACTGGTTGCAGACCTAGATCCTAACTCTTTTCCTAGAGAGTTGTTCTCTCCATCCCCGTCTCCTTCCTTCTTACTCCGGATGTCTTTGTCATGGTCTCTCATGCTAGTCCTGCATCTTCCTCTGCTTGCAGAATGAGCCCTGGACCCACGGAGGCAGCATGAGTCCCCAGAACAGCACGGGGAGCACTCAGGACAGCGATAGCTGGGCCTCGTCCCACTCCTCCGACTGCCATGTCCTGACAGACAACGGGAGGAGCAGAAATGCCATGGCCAGGAGGGCTGCGGACAACAGCCTGCTCACAAGCTGCCCTGCCTTCAACACCAGCTTCTATGATGTCCGGCCCCAGCAAACCAAAAGGAAGAAACCACCAGCAAAGAAACTCATTTTGGAGCAGCAGGTGGAGAACAAGGTGCCACTGAGTGCTGGGAAAGGCTTTGGGGCAGAGCAGGACAGAGTGAAAGAGCTGGTGGTGCTGGAGGGACAGATGCCTCCCGTGAAAGAGCAGCTCTTGGAGCCTTCCCTCAACCCAGCTGGGGACTCCAAGCCCAACTGCCTCCTGGAGGAGCTGATGAAGGAGGAAAAGGACTGGACTCATGGAGCGCAGGGGACCGAGAAGCCAGTAGATGATCCTCAGCTAAAGGAGCACGAACCCTGCTCTGGAGGAAGGAAAAGCCCCAGCTCTTGTAGTACCTTGGACCAAAGCGAAGGGGAAGATGCGAGCAGAGGGAGCTCCCAGCTTAGTGGTGAGTGTCCGAGTGAGCGCAGAGGGCCTTGCTGTGCTGCGGTCAGCGCTGAATGCTGTCCCTCCCTCAGCTGCAGCCACCCATGCTGGCGGCAGTGAGGGCCTGTCAATGGCCCAAGCCTCCCCAACAAGGGAGTACCTTCAGGACTGGGAGGACTACAGAGGGCAGGAAGCTGGCCTGCCCTGTGGCAGCTCTGTTCTGCAGAGCCAGCGGTACAGACCTGAAATGTGTCTGAAGTGGGGTGTAGGGTCGCCTTGCTCACCTTGTCTTTATTTTTTTCTCTTTTTCCCCCTTTTGCAACTTTAGCAGTCGAATTCGCAGCAGCGCCCAACACCAAAGCAGAAGGTGAGTGGGGGGCTCTCGCATTTATTGCCGGTGGAACTGGCTGGTCTGGCCACAGCTGGACCTCCAGTTGGTAAGGTGGTTTCTCACCAGTGTCTGTCTCTCCCGGACCAGACGATGATGCCTGGGATCTGATCACCTGCTTCTGCCTGAAGCCCTTCGCAGGGAGGCCCATGATCGAATGTAATGAATGCGCCACCTGGATCCACCTCTCTTGTGCCAAGATCCGCAAATCCAACGTGCCTGAGGTTTTCATCTGCCAGCGATGCCGCGATGCCAAGCAGGAGATTCGCCGCTCGAACCGAGCTCGGACGGTGCCCCGCAAGCGCTTCTGTGACTGAAGCTCTTCCAGAGCAGGGAGGCCGGGGGTCCCCTTTTTAAACCGAAGACCGTAGCCCAGTTTGGCTAGACAATCAATGCACAGTAACGGCGGGGAGAGGCTGGGCTGTGGGGCTGGACTGTCTAGGGTGGTCCAGCCACACACTAGGTTGCTCGGAAACACCTCTGTCCTTGCACAAAGCTGGCTCAGTGCCTTTACCCCAGGGCAGCTGAGGATAACCTAGTCCCAGGTAGTTTTTCTGTGGTGTGGTGGAAGCTTACACTTATCCTAAGATGTGACTGCCCTTCTGCCTTTTTCCTCACTGTTTTCCTTTCTTTTTCGTCAGACCTTGGCCAGCCACACACTAGGTTGCTCGGAAACACCTCTGTCCTTGCACAAAGCTGGCTCAGTGCCTTTACCCCAGGGCAGCTGAGGATAACCTAGTCCCAGGTAGTTTTTCTGTGGTGTGGTGGAAGCTTACACTTATCCTAAGATGTGACTGCCCTTCTGCCTTTTTCCTCACTGTTTTCCTTTCTTTTTCGTCAGACCTTGGAGTGGGCTGCAATGGCAAAGCCTCAGTGACCCAGGTTCTCCAGCAAGTAGGTGCAGCCCAGGCGAGCTCCCTCCATGTAATGCGCTGCTCTCCAGGGTGGAAGGGGAAGGGACATCCGTCCTGCCAATGCCTGAAGCAGACTGAGGCTCTGCATTTTGAGAGTATTGGTGGAGCCATCCATTTCTGGCTCATCAGCCTTGTTAGGCTGCACAGGGGAGGTTCTTCCCCTGGTCCATGGTGCTTCTGGTTTCGTTTGCTGTGCCCATGGCCCCAGGATAGTCCTGTTGGGTCAGGAGCAGCAAAGGCATCCTTTGGTAGATGATTACAAAGGCTTTTCTTGCCAAGCAGTCCTCGGTTCATGTTCTCCAGTTGCACTGAGGTCTCCTTTGTGAAGGGGGGTGGGATTCCTGGTAGGAGACTGAACAGTTGTCCTTGGAGCTGGCTGTGGCAGGGCTGAGAGCCCTTTAAAAGGGGAGCAAGAGAGGGCTTGTGGTTAGCTTTCTGTGTTTCCCACTTCCAGTTTAAAACACCTGAAGCTGGTACCCTGTGGCCATTTCCTGCCCGCAGGGCTGTCTGGTGGAGCATCTGCTTCAACACCAGCTGGATGCTGAGACCTGAGCTCAGATGGAGCCAGGAGCTGGGAGGGCCCTGCTTCCCAGCGCTCCCTCCATCACAGAAGCTGGTTGTTGGTTTTTTTTTTCCTGGACATGTAGAGTGAAATCTGATGACTTCTCAAGAGTGGGCCCTGAGCCCCTTCTGCTATGCAACTGCTGCTCTGGAGACACGGGATGTGCCCTCTCCAGGGCAGTTTGGCAGTGGAAGGCTTTTACCCACTCCCTGTCCCTTGTGCACAGTGTGTGTGTAATCTCCTGGGTGCTCACTGTTGGATCCCACCTTCTCCTCACAGCCCCTCCAAAGAGCCTGGCCCACGTGTGCCTTCTGCACTTTCCCTGGGGGACGCAGACCCCACTCCTGTCCTGGTGACATTTGGCTGGGCCCCTGGCGCACCGCTGCCCGCAGCAGGGAGTGGGACAGGCCACCCCTTGCCAGTCCCCACGACTATATTTCTTAACTGGGTTCTTTCCTACTTGCACATCTGGTTATTGTGGGACCACAGCTGGGGGAGGGTGTGGGGCAGCCCCCTGTCACTTAGCCCCCCCATCACTCAGCCCCCCAGGCTCGTCCCTGTGCCTCTCTCCTGTGGAAAGCCTGGGCCCCAAAAGTGCTTTATGTTTTTATATAGTTACTTTGTATCAATATGTAAAATAGCGAATTCTGGTCCTTGCCCTGTGGAGTGTGGCTGGAGTCTTATGTATATAATAAAGTACTTTTGCCATAACGGTGGTAGCTTGCGCATAGTTTGGTGGCTTCAGGTCTCGTGTCACTCTGGGACCTGGTGCACCCCTTATTCTGTGGCTGGGAGAGGACCTGGTGCGGGGCACCCCACCCAGCCCTGCTTCCCTCCTCTCCCTCCCCCAGGGCTGCACAAACAACAAGGAACAGCAGGCCAGTGTGAGTTGTATTTTAATAGAGCAATGCCCACCTCCCTGCCCTGCACGTGGGGCAGCTCCCCAGGAACGTGGTCTGGAGCTGCGCGGGCTCGGGGACAACATCTTCGACGGGCACCATCTTCCTGAGGCTGCAGCCAACTCATCATGAGCATCATGGGTTGCTCCAAACAAGCAGCAGGTCTGGCTCACGGAGGAAGGACATCCACGTGCTCTTGCTGCGACTCTTAAGGCACATCACTACTTGGATCAAAAGCTCCGTTTTGCTCTTGGGCTCTGACAAACCCTCCCTGGCTCTGTCTCCGCTCCAGAGTGGAGTTGCGATTTAGTCCTGACAGCAGTAGAGGTGCCAAAGGATCCAGTTTTCTCCCCAAATAAGCGTTATTCCAGCACAGAGGCATCACCAGTTTCCCCTGGAGACCCTGAGGTGTGCCAGCTTCCGTCGGGCAGTGCCCTTGGGTCAAATGGAGGGTGAAGGGATGGCAACAGGACAAGAAGGCACTGGGGGCCGAGCGCTGGCCTGGCTGGGACAGGAAGAAGTCACTGTTTGTGGAGACCCTTCCCAAAGCAGGGTCCTGCTGGTGCGTCAGTTCCATCCCGAGGCAGTTGCGCTGGGATAGATGCAGGGAATGGTCCAAGAATAGCAACAAAACTGAGTGTAATTTCTCTGCTAGGGGCTAAAGCCGAGTTTGTGTGGCCAAGCGAGCATCCTGGTGAGGGAGGTGAGAAGGGGGGGGGTCTACTCCTCCTTGGCCCAGACAGAGCCACCTGCCTTCTCCTCCAGGTGGGGAATCACTGCCTCGGTGTAAAACTTCTCCAGCTTGGGCACTGTGCATTCCCAGAACTCAGAGTCAAACTCCACGGGGACCACAGCCGTCTCCTTGGTGGTGTGCACCACAAAGTCGGCCCGCTGGAAGCCGGTGGCTGCCAGCTGGCACTGGACCTGAGTGAAGTAGGCATGATCCTTCTTCAGGGCATAGGAGTCTCCATTCATTTCCAGACAGAAGTCCTTGTCCTT